AAAAAAAAAGAAAAAGAGGAACTGCATTTCACAAAATACAGTTACATATGATAGAAATTAGGAAATGTGCTGTAGCTGTATTCTCAGCTCAGGGATGAAAAATGAGAATGCTCTGGCAGTGTAGGGAAATAGGGTTCAAACTTCAGGGCCAGGAGCTATATTAGCCTCTGGGATAAAAAGAGTGATTTTCAATAAAGACAGTGGTACCCACTGCCTTAGAAAATAAAATAATAATTAAAAAAGCTTTTTCTTTGTAGAATATCATCGGTTGGAACAATTGCCATTAAGAAAACTTCAGTGAGCTATCATCTTTTATAACTTTTCCATGGATTTTTATATTCACCTGGGTGTGTCTGATGACCAGATACCAAGATAAGATGGCAGTGATCCTTGATGTAGTCAATTGAAACAGATTTGTCACAAATAAATGTAATTCAGTGAATAATATTATTTATTGACTTCCAGAGGCAGATCTTAAAGCAAAGAAAACCAAAAGCAAAGCAGAGCTGCCTGCAGCCAGTGGGGATTGCACCCAGCCTGCCACCCAAAGAGTTGCTGAGCCACAGAGGCTTTGTTGTGCACCTAAGAAATTAAGCATCCTCTGCAGAAGAATCTTATACAAAATGTGAAATTATTTATATACTTAGGCACAGTATTAATTCCTTTTATGGAACAGATATATTGATTTCAGTCCCAGGGACTATAAAAGAAGCCAAATCACATCAGACACAAAAATGCCCCAAATTTTAATTGCTAGCAGTTCGGTAAACCTTGTGCCCTGTAGTCACAGGGCTAATATATGCCTGTTGTTCTCTACATCTGAGAGACACTGGGCTTACCTTTGGAGCAAGGATGACTCAGATTAGACACTGAAACAGGTTTCTGGGGCACCTTCAGTGCTGGAGATCTCTAAGAACTAATTAGATTAACACTTGTCAGAAAGGCAATAGATATGTCTAATCCTGCCTTGGTGCAGGGGGCTGGCCCCCCATTGGCTTCCCACACTTAGGATTTAAAAATATAAAGCTGCACTTTAGGTCAAAGCTCTATATTCAATAAACAATAATTAGAATATGCTCACTATTATATACTTTTGACACCTCAAATTAGTTTTAAATTTGACCTAAAAATTTATTTCTCTAGAGGTAAATACAAGAATAATCACAGATCCTTTTTTTTTTTTTGGTTGTTGTTGTTGTTGTAACAGGAATGCTTTATGCTCTACACTAAACATTTATAATTCCACTAAGGGCAAAATCTCTCCCTCTCATGCAGTGTTCTCAGAAATGAGGTCAGGCATTTCTCAATCCCTGGCAAGAAAACTTTCTGACTCATTACTCCACCACAATGCATCCATAATTTCCCCTTGGGTCCCAGTGAAATTGTTCAAATGTTTTGGAAAAATTTATCTTTGACATCCCAAGAAAGGGAATATAGAAAAGATGTCCTCCTAGCATGAAAGGATTAGAGTCCTTTAAGATTTGAAGCAGAATTTCTCGCAGTTTCCAAGATATTATTATTTATTAATTCATGCAATGGGCTTCACAAGCACTGAGGTACTTTATAGAATCACAAATTCTGTTGCAAACACACAGATGTGAAAGTCCTGTTGTTACAGACACTGCTGAACCATGACCAGCTTTCTTGCAGGACCCAGATATCATCAGAAATCCCCACTAATTTGACACTGAAATGACTGAGCTTCTCAGTCTATTGCTGAGGACTTCCAAATTCCCCACAGCTTCTTGCCCTGAGTTTAAGACATCAGGTGCTCACTTCAAGCACTTTGAAGGCCTCCTGTATTTCTCTTAATGACTGAGCCTCTGTGCTTATGTCCTGAAACTAATGCAGCTCATCCAAGCCTGCCAAGCAGTACACAGATTTCTGGGAGGTCTGGGATCCGTTTCTGAACCTTGAAGCCTCACATTCCTTCTCTCACGACTGTCCAAGACCTGAACTGAGCACATCCATTGCAAAAACATGTTGATGCATTTCCACGTTTCCACTCCATCCACACCCAGACTCCAGCAGCTTTCAAGGGAGCTCTGAACGTCTTCTGGTCCAGTTCCTGCTCAGAGTAGATCCAGCTGTAACTCCTGTCTTCCGTTTTTCCAGGGAGCCTGCCTTAAATACTAGCTTGGTTCCTTTTGTCTACTTCCATTTTTGTTGCCAATAAATTGTTTATATAAAACTTCTGAAAGAATTCTTGTGGACAGAGATGGGCACTGCTACCCACCTTTGTCTTTGGAGAGCCTACCTACCCTGAGAATGGTTACACAGGAGGTGTCACTGTGAGGGCTCAGGGCTAGGGAGGAGGAAAGACAAAGGACAACACTGAGCTGATGAGGAGTTCATATCTCTACATGTATCCCTTTCAAGGAAAGGGGGAAAAGGAGTAAGCAAGGGCCACTCTCAATGTGTTGGACTGGAGAAAGATTAAAACCTACCTCTCAATAAAATGGCAATACTAAAAAGTTCATAAACATGAAACATTGTAGTTTGTGAGAAAGCAGGTGAGATGTCCTGCCCTGTTGGGGGCTACAAAGCAGCTGTAAGTCAAGTAGCAAGAATCAGCTTTCCTGGGAAGGGAAGCCCTTGTATGTGTTCAGGGCTGACCACCACTTCTCTTCTTCTGTCTCTTCTGAATTGCTCCTATAAACTACAACACTGACTTTGGTGCTGGAAGAACAAGAATAAAATTTTTGTAGGATCCCCAGGTGGTCCCAGACACCACACAAGCCTCTTCAAACATATTTGTACACCTACATGGTGGAGGTTTCTTTTTAAGCTTGAAGTAAGTAAACACATATTAAAAATCAATTAGAATCAGATCAGTTTGTGATCTCAAAAATGCAGAGTTACCCTTTCACAATTAGCTGTTTCTGTGATGAATTTAACAAGGCATAAAGCAGAAGAAAACAGCTTCACTTCTTGCATAGGATTTGGCCTGGAGCTGGAACCCAAGGGCTCAAGGGCTTCAGGGTGCCTTAACAGCATTTCACCTCTGTCCTCACACACTGCAAAGGCCAAGTGTCACACATGTACCCCCAGCTGCCACTTCCAGTAACCACATCATGCAGTCCTGTCTGGAAATTCCTCTCTGACAAAACAATAGCTGTTCCACCCCATTGATTTAATACTGGAAAGCAGTAACAGAAAATCATTCATTTAGCACATGATTTTACATCAAGGGCAAGTGGCAACACGCGCCTTTAGAGAAGGTGAAGTGTCATGCTAACATTTTATATTCTAATAATTTGATTTAATATTTAATATGGCTTTTTGGTGTTTAAATAAGAATTCAGCAAGCTTTCTCAGCCCTCTCCCACACTTCAGTTTCTGGAATACTGTATGTCCTGTCCCTCAAGCACTTATTCACATGTTAGGAAAATATTGCCATGGTGTTGTTATCCTATTTGTGCAAAGGTCTCGCCTGCTGCTGGTACGTTGTTCCTTCAATCAGCCATAAGAGCACCCATGTGTCACACAATCAGTGTCAGACGCTTCCAAGCTCAACCCCAGCTGCTCTTCAGCATGCACAGGTCCCATTGACTGAAGTGGGAGTTTTATGTGTTTAAGGGCAGGAGAATTTGAGCAGCTTCAGCAAATGATCCCTGCCTGCATTCACGAGGACAAAAACGAAAACTCTTGACTTTCAAACAGCATCACTGGTACTCCCTACACCACATTTTTCATCTCCTTTTGCTTTTCATAATTAATGATTATCCTCATTAAGAAGGGCTCAACTTTTTTTCACTCAAGGTGTCACGAAACTTTTTTTTTTCCCTTTAGTCTACTACATAGTGGTTCCTGGGAATTCAGCTCCCCCAAGGTTTCCAGGATCAAGCCCCAGCTGATATCATTTCAGGAACCCTCAAGAGAAGAAAAACTGTCTTTCTGCCAGAAGAATTGTATGCATAGATTTTTTGCTTAGACCAAAAAGATTAGGCCTACTGTCCAGAGCTTCCTGATTAGTGAAAGATGTGCCTCTTCAAAGCACTTTTTATCCCAAAGTAGCATTAATATTTCCCCCCTTTTTTCCTGCTCTGTTTTTGTCATTAAAAAACCTGGCACATATTTGCTTTCTCTTTCTGAAAGAGCTTTTTTCCTTATTTAAAAAGTTTAAAAGTCTGTCCATTATCCCTCAGCCACAGAGAGCTGCAGCCCAGGCAGCCAAGCAGCTGTAATCCAGCCAGCAGCTCCCTGAGCTCTCAGCAGACAGGTCGGACAAAGCTCTCCCTGTGAGCTGCACTGCTGATGGCTCCTGAAGCAAGGTTTGTGGGGGAAACCCACAAAACCAGGAGTATTGAGCTGTTACACATCTCAGCTGCTTCCCTGCTCTTGCAAAAGAGGTTGTTGTTGTACTGGGCACTGCAGAGGACAGTAGTGACACTTTGCTGGGCTCACAGTGTTTTTGTTATGGCTATTGAGGGTTTTCAGAAATTTGTATGAAAATGAATTCTCACCAATTTATTACTATTCTGGTTTTGCTACCTCATGATAAATTCATAAGCCATACCACAAGACAGGCACATTATATGTTGTGTTAAAATGGCAGGGCTATTCCACCACCCTTAGGCAACAAACTCAGGTGTAAAGTTAAAAGCCTCATTTTGCATTTCTTACCTGAGCAATGGATTCAGGTAGATGTCTCTGGGGCACTCCATGGATTTTAGGGTGGACTGAATCAGCTAATAGAAAAATCTCTTTTTCCTAACAAAGATATTATCACCTTCTAACTTATTTTTGATGAAAGACTGAATACTTAAAGCTCTTCCCTCATATCCAGACTGAGTTCAGAAGTTTTGAAAGACTGAAGAAAACTTAGGGAAAAAACAGGGCAGATAACAATGAAGGGGTGGCAAATAACAGCCTTGTGTACACCATTCTGAACAAGGATTTTCTGGAGGCTGTATTTTGTTTCTATGGTGTGTGTGTGTGTGTGTGTAATTTAGACTTAGTTTAGCTTTTAAACTGCCAGTGAAAGAACAAAACAGGGAGCAACTTAAAAGACACATTAACTTGGGCTCATCTTTCCTTCAGCACTCTTTTGGTGCTGTGTTGCCACATTTTAAGAAGAAAAACTACCATAAGGGCATAAAGCTTTGATGTGGAATTGAAATTTCTCAAAGAGTCAGAGTATGTGAGGTTAAAAGTGTTCCTCTGAGCAGGTCAAATGTAGACATCAGTTCTCTTCACATCCTGGCATAGTCAGGGATCTGGGTTTGCATTTAACCCTGTACACATCTCCTCAGCTTCTCTCTTCTCTCCTGGGGATGCAAGGAATGGAAGGGTCGAGGGGAGAGAGGAGCTTATTTCATTAAAAACCAGAGAGATTTTATTGTATCTTTCTGAAGCATCACAAAATTAGAAAATGAATGGAAGGAGCAGCCGCTATGACATCTTGTCATTCCAACTCTGCCGTTTCTCCAGCTCCCACAGGCTGCCCTGAACGTGCTGCTATCTGCAGATCTGTAAGGCATGAATCATCTCACACATCGCCGAGGTGAAACCTGGCAACTGTTTAACAGCACCGCTGCAACACTGTGGAACATTTAAAGACAGGAAATTAAGAATACCTGAGCCAACTAAAACCACAGGGGGAAGTTCAGATGGACAGAATTTAATTACCCATTTTGGAATTTGGCCAGGACACCAAAACTTACACCCCAACCCTCCTGTAAAATGCCATCGGATCTTTAATACTAACAACTGTTCAAAACATCAGCTTTAGATCTGCTCCAAATGAGAGCAGCTCTAGAAGTCGTCCAAGACCTGTTAAGGTATTCATTTACTGCTGACTGACAGGAAGGCTGCAACACTGATTCACACAAACAAGCCAAAGTAAAGCACAGCCAGCAAAACATCTCTCGTACCAGCACTGGAGGCTTAATGTTTTTAAGAGTATTCAGTGTATTTTCAGAAGTGCATCAAGTAAAAAAACCCAAAACCCCCATATTTTGTTATCTCAGCAGTCAAAACATCCTTCAGCCCTCCTTGCGCAAGCCCCAGATGTATATCAGTGCTCAGGCTCTTGTTTGTTGCCATTTGTAGCATGGAAAAGGAAAACACTATAGTGAATAACAACAGTGTGTCGACTTTAAAGGGAAGATTAAAGTCTGAAAGTCCATCCAGTTTCACTTCTCACATTATTTTTTCTAAAGCAAGCTGTACACTATTTAATGTTTATTTGTGGCGAAGATGAGAAATTCTCTCTGTGGCTTATCTTTTCAAGAAGACTGGGATTTCTACAAATCATGGTTCTTGAAATTCCTTAGGCTAAGGAATTATGTCAGCCCTGAAAAGCACGGGTTCATTATTCACATTGTGTTACTCTTTTGACATAATTCCCTAACAGACTGGGACATGAGGTGTCCCATTTTGATACTTCAATCTACAGCCACTGCTTTTGTCTCCTCCAAATAATAAACACTTCTGTCGCTGAGTTCCTGTTTTAAAAAAATCCTTTGAGCAGTATATCTATATAAAAAAGAAAATCTGGGTTAGCTGTGGTCCACCAGCAATTTATCAAGCAGTATTAGTTATGTCTGTGGGATATTTTTCATTATCTGAGGATTATTAATAGAGACACTATATACATAGTGATTATTCCTGGACTAATAATTGAGATAATATCAATATGAAGCCTAGTTTCATTAACACCTTAGTAAAGAGACTATTATGTGAGGTTGGTTTTTTTGTTTTTTGGTTTTTTTGGTTTTTTTTTTTTTATTCCCTCCAATTTGTAATCAAAAGTTATTTAATAGTAGAATCAGTCTTTACTTATAACTGAGGTTGTGGACTTTGGGAGTTGGCAGAGCCAGCTACTGGGCTGCTGGGAGCCAGACTCTTTTTGATCTTCATATTGAATGGTTTCCTTTGATCACCTAGACAATAGATCATAAAAGAACAGAGCTTTTACCCATATCTCCCTAAATTTGCAGGTAAATAATGAGATGGTCTGAACTCAGGCTGGAGTGTAAGATTTTTAACAAACAATTCTCCCCTTTGAAGTAGACTTAACAAAATTAGCATATAAATGAGCAATGCTGCTACATAAGGACATGTGGCTGGAGAAGAGGGATAATTGGGCTGAGGGGGCTAGTTTCTAAATGAGGTCGTTTGCTGAATGACCGGCAGTTAGACTACAGATGTGCTCCTTCTGAGTCGGGATGAGAGCTGAATATGGGGTTTGCTCAAGGTGGGGACCGTGGCTGCTGTGGGAGAGGACTGGAGCTTTGCAGTGGGCTGGGAAGTGCCAGGTTAGGTGGGAGGCAGGGCAGAGACAGAGCTGCCTCTGCAGGAGAGCATTCTGTTCGGTGCTGTGGAGTCAGGCTGTGGTCCATCACACTGACATTTGCCTCTGTCATCTTCAGCTGTGCAGTGCTCTGTGATGTGATCCTCCATAAATCTCCTCAGAGCTCGCTTTGCTGTGCCCATGAAGAAGGACCATTATGCTGAAATAGCTGCACCAGTGGTTGCTGACAAGAGCTGCACGGGCTGAATTCACCAACCTCAAAAAGCCAGAACAAAGATTTAGTGTGGTGGTAGCAGGTTAACATCAGGATTTTGAGCTTCAGAGCTTTTTATTTCACTAAAATCTGTGGAATTACCTCCCCCAGTGGGAAACTGCCACCTTGTTACATGGTACCTTGGACTCCTTCCTCTTTGCGTGAACAAGGCAGCTCCCCTGGGACCAAAACACCCTTGTCCTTCCTTGGCAGGGACACATGGCTGGAGATGTCTCAGTAGCACTGCTTTGTAATGTACTAAATGAAAAAGAAGTCAAATTAAGTACGGATGTTTTGAGTCAGCTTTCAACAAAAATGTCTTGGTGTGCTTGAAAGAATCATGCTCAGTTCACTTGGTCTTTTATGTAATTTAAGAAAACTTAAACTTGAGATTTACAGACGACAGGAAGATCATGATCTCAGTGGCACCTGAATAGCAAACAGGATAGTGTATTCTGTGAGGTACAAAAACCAAGCTCAAATTCCCTGTGACTTGCTTTGGGGATAGATACAGATACAGACTAAGTTTCTGCAGAAAGCATCAGCACGTTCTGGAGGCACTCAGTATCCTTTGGCTCAGATACTACTGAGATCCCCTTTACCTTCTCACAGGAGATGAGACCAGTCCCTCTTCAGTGTAACCCTCACATAACATAGGAGGCTATTCTACATATAAATTGAGTGTTAAGGGCAATATCTTTTAAAGATATAAATGACATTTCAGTCTCTCATGAATGTATCCTGAAAAAAGAGTTTCTGTACATCAGATATCCCCTCATCATAGTACTCCTTTCCTTCCCTTGGAGACCTGCTAGGACAGGACTTTGTACTGCTGGTGAGCACAGCACCCCTCTGGAATCTTTGGCTTGCTGCTGGAGCACTGTCTGAGGCTTTTTCAGGAGGCAGGGTGGGCACAGTGGGCTGCAGCAGCCAGTGGTGCTGGGGAGAGCAAAGTGCCTGCTCTGACACAGATGAGTGAACCAAGAAGGGGCTTTGGGGAGGATTTTTGGAGGTGCTTGAATGGGGGGAACTCTTGGTGGGTTTGGACAAGGGGAATTTTATGCAGAGTTTTGGAAAGATATGGGGATGGCAGGGGCTGGGGGCTCTCCAGCTGGCCCCTGGGCATGCTCATGAAAAGGAGCAAGGGATGGGGAAGGTTGAAATGGTTCAGAAATAGGAGTACTGTCACTGGAGAGGGGGAGAGCTGGGGCAAGGGCTGGGGAGGGAGGGCGATGGGCACCAAAGGAAATGGATTTATTAAACACCTCTGACTTAGATGTTGTGTTTGGGGCAATCTCCTGTCCTGTTTTCCTTCTCCTCCCTCCCTGGTTGTTTTTTGTTTTGTTTGTTGTTGGTTTTCTTTTTGTTTTGTTTTGTTTTGCTTTTGTTTGTTTGTTTTTCTTTTTCCTGCTGGCAACAGGAGTAGCCTAGCCCAACTAAGCAGAGCTGATTGGTTCCAGAAAAAATTGATATGAGCTTTTCCTGCACTTCTGAAATCTTTCTGTCCTCACCTCTTATATTTATTAGCTCAAAGTTATTCACCAAAAGTTGACCTGAATTTTTCAAACAAGTTTTCTTCTGGCAAATAAACTCTTCACTAAAAACATATGTGCCCGTCACTACACTAAATGCAGGCAGTCTATTTACTTGCTGTTTGGCTGATAGCTGGCCGCTTCCCAGCAGCACAGAGGAGATGGAAGGCATTAGGAAAAGCCCTGAATATTGCTGGCTGAATAGTCTGCAAAAAAAGGGATAAGGATGACAGGAATGAAACCCTAGTGCTGTTAAGAGGCACTTGGAAGATTTTGCTACAGTTTCTATTTAAAAAAAAAATTAAAAATTCAATGGAAGTTACACAAATAAAAACCATGCACACAGCACTTTGAAACCACACCAGTGTGACACCATAAATACATGGGAATTAAACAAAAATAATAAAAAAGGACCTTAGTTGCAGGCAATGCACTTTAATGGCTCAGCTCAGTATGGAATAACCTCAAAAATACATTCCAGAACTGATTTCTCCATCACATGGAAGAAAGGGGCAAATGGCACTGCAAATACAGAGGCACAGCATCTGCTACGACTTCACTGCTCTAGGATACTTGCCTTCCCTGCATGAGCATGGTGGGGCAGAATCCAGCCTTGGGCTGATGGGTTGGTCTGGAAGCTGCAGGCAGAAAAGCTGGGAAATTTGAACACCTTTGTGAAAGCAAGGGGGTGGCAGAGAAGCTGGATGTGGAGCTGGTGTTCAGCAACCCTGTTGGTACAAGATGTAGGGGCCCTCAATGATGTTACTGTGTCAGTCAAAATAATTTCAATAGTAAACAAGGGGTGAAGAGACAGAGAGCAACAACAGCCTCCTAAAGGAACTGAGCCATTGTCCTGGTTTTGGCTGGGACAGAGTTAATTTTCTTCATATGGTACAGTGATGTGGTTTGGATTCAGTATGAGAATCATGCTGATAACACACTGAAGTTCTGGCTTTTGCTCAGTGGTGCTTACTCTAAATCAAGGACTTGTCAGTGTCCTGTGCTTTGCCAGTGAGCAGGTGCACAAGAAGCCAGGAGGGAGCATGGCCAGGAGAGCTGACCCAAAGTGACCCAAGGGCTATTCCATTGCACAGGACATGTTGATTCCATAAACTGGGGGGAGGTGGCTGGGAGGCACCAAGTGCTCAGGCATGGACAGGGTATGGGGTCAGCGAGTGGTGAGCAATTGTAATGTGCATCACTTGTTTATCTTGGATTTTATTCCTTCCCTCTCTCATTTTCATTACAATTGTTATCATTGCTACTATTATCATTAGGATTATTATATACTACTTTTAACTATTTAACTTTTCTTATCTCAATCCAGGAGTTTTATATTTCTTTTCCTTGATTCCCCTCCTCATCTCGGAGAGGAAGTGTGTGTGGATGGGTAGGTGGGGTGTGAGCAAGGAGATTTGTTGAACTGAGTTTCCAGCTGGGGTTAAACCAAACAGCTGTGCTGTGCCTGTGCCACTAGCTTGATTTGAAGACAACAGCAAGAATTGTGTAAAGGTCTCCTTGTCTTTAGGGTAATGGAGTAGCATTTAAAAAAGGTATATATCCTCTAAATACATTTCCCAGGAGAGAGACCACACTCAGGCAGGTGACACAGAAGAGGGAGTTTCCATTCAGGGGGAGATGAAGCAGGTGACACCTGCTCTTGAGGGCTCCACAGAACTGAAAACATACCTTGAGTGTTGATGAAGCATGCAACAGAAAAAGAAGGTTTTGTTTTCCATACAAGGAGATCCATTTGGTGGCATTGGGAGGGAAATATTTCACTAGGAAATAGGAATAGTCATCAAGGAAACATATAGGAAACAGAAAAATCACAGGATGAAATAGGCTCAGTAACAAAACAACTGGGGGGTTGACAAATTACCAGAAAAGTGATATTCTCAAAAGTACAAGCAATAGCACAGTCTACACTGAAAATGAGGTTAGTTTTGGAAATTAACATCACATCTTTCTAGTTCCTGTAATCCTTGTCCATTTTAAAATAGAGCTCATGACACAAGATATCTGCTATAAATAATCAAATCCATTATAACCTGGACATATCCTCTACATCAAATAATCCTGCTATAAAAACTGGGAATAAAGGAATTTGCTGGATGACTAGCACTCAAAAAATTGTTCCCTGGTGGGTTATTTTCAGCCTTTTCTCTACTTCAGTAGTTTATGTTGAATAACTCACAGCTGTGGAAATACCTGCACAATGGAATTTAATACTGCTAATAAAGAGATCCAGATTGGCCCAGCTCCACTCAAGACTCACAAATGTTAAGACATACAAATATCTTGGGTTGTGTAAGAGGCTGAGTGGCCTCAGTGCAGGACTGTGGATGCTCAGGCAGAGGGACTGTCCCGCTGCCAGAGGGTGGGATGGGTCGGGAGTGAGCCGGGCAGCAGAGCGCACTGTGCTCCTCTTCAGGGCACTGCTGGCCTCCCATCAGGGACCAAGGATGTGCCACCAGGCCAGGTAAGCTCTGAAGCCTTTTGTTTTTGTACAGAAAGTGAGTTCTTTTGTGGGAATTATAGGAAACTGTGCTTTTTAGGAGCTTCTTGCTGCTCTGTATGCACAGAAAGTGCCGTAAAGCCACACGTGTACACAGTGACCACAGTCCAGTCAGGACTGTCCAGTTCTGGTCTCTTGTAAAGCACCAGGTGACATAACAGCATCCTGAGACCAGCCCTTGTAACTGGAAAGCCAGAGATGACAAGTCTTTACCACCTTTTCTTTTTTTCTTAATTGCAAGTCTCCTGGATTAGTCTATTTTCAAATATTGAAGGGCATTGAGGAAGGAAGGAGAGGAGAAAGATGGAATAACTGATACTTTGGGTGATCTATATCATTCTATATCATTCATATGTCCTTCAAACTATCTCTCTGCAACGTTTATGAGCATATTTCTGCAGAGAGCTGGGCAGGACACAATCTGTCACTTAACATTGTTAAGTGTTGTGGCTTAGGCAGGAACCTTGAGACGGGAACCTCATCAGCCCACCCCTGGCTAGTTCAGAGGTGCTTGTATTTGATATTTTACTTCCAGCTCCAGAAAATTTTAACCATTTGTTTTAAACTGAAAACAAATTTTGGTGCTTGTAATTTCATGACAATCACATCTGGAAATAAATATATCAAAGTACAACTTAAAATTCCAATATCCAGAAGGAACCAAAAGGAAAAATGCATTCCAAACAAATGAAAAAGTTTTTGTTGAACAAAAAACCAGCCAAACAACCAACCAAAAAACAAAACCAACAAAACAAAATATTAAAGAACTATTATTCTGAGAAATCATTATTTCTGTACGTCTACTCTGAAAATTTCACAACAACCTGCAGTCATTTAGGCAGACATTTTCAAGTGACAGTCAAATCACCACAAACCTTCTCCTAAATAAGGCACTGGTCTGGAGGAGATTGTAGGGTACTTGGATGGAGGGTGAGGTGTAGGTAGATGAGTATGACAGTCCCAGAAAAGCTGTGGCTGCAGCCAGGCTTTTAGTGTGACAAAATGATTCTACTGGTTTTAAGGTAGTGCTGTCCCTGTGTTTTCTTTCTTCTACCCCAAAGGATAGCTCAAATTAATCTGCCCATTAATCAGCCAAAGGAGGTTGTTGCAGTTAAGAAATCAGAAGTTTTTGCCACTGAACAGCATGGTCACAGGTGATTAAAAAATAAAACAAATGAATAAAATGAAAAACATATTAAATAAGATCAATTTCCCATTTTCCCTTCGAGTCTTGACCTTGCAGCTCTGTGCCCATCCTGGTACGTGGAAGTGCCTGCATGAGGCCCATTGCGAGAAGGTTTCCTTCATTACTGATTGCAGTTTTCTCCCCTCGTATATGGCTTTTTCTTGGAAACTGCTGTCTTGTAGATTGCCACTTTCAGAAGCCTCAGGCTGTTTGAAGGCAATTATTATACAGACCACTCCTTCCTTCCCCAGCAGTTCCCTTCCCTACTTGAGAACTGGCCATGCTGTGGGTCTCACAGAAAAATCATAGGACTCGACAACTCTCTTTCCATTTTAAAAGCCCATATCCTACTATTACATGGTCTTGAGCTCAAAAATGTTGCCTCCCTGTGGAGTGCCACTGTTCAGCCCCTCATTATAACCTGGCCATTAGTATTTTTTCCTCCCTCTCAGGAATGCAACCGGCATCTACAGCACAGCCAAATCCTGCTGCGTGAAATTTGAGTTAGGCCCTTCACAAGGAAGTCCCGACTTCTTTGAAAAAGGGGTTATACTTAAAAATAATACATTTTCTGGAAGAAAGAAGGCTGATAGAGGTTATAATTTTTTTAGCTTTTAGGCTGAAATAGCAGCAAAACAAACAAAGCCAACTTGAAGCTCCCCATCCCTGTTGACACAAAGAGCAGCAGAGGAGATAGCTGCGATATGCAAAAATGAAATTGCATTACTGCTGCAGAGCTCAGGAACCACAATAAAGGTTCCTGATTGCTGCCCAGGGACACCTTAGCAATAAGGCCAGCTCCTGCAGCACTTCCCACCTGATTCACATTGGAGGAGCTGGTGGTCTAAGCACAGACACAGAGCTGCTGACAAACTCAAATGAAAAGAAAGCTGTCTCAGTAGTTCACCCTTTGTTATCACCCTTTGGAACATGAGTTTAACCTGGAGGGGAAATTTCAAAGAAAACAGCTGAAAATTCCCTTTCAGAATGGAGTTTGCAGTCAAAGACAGACACAAGCCCCAGTATCGATCACAGTTCCTAAATTTCACACCTTCTGTCTGCTGAATTTGATCTCTCTTGGCAAGCCAGGAGCAACCCACCTTGGTTTTGATGGGTTTGTCTGTGTGTGGAGCACATGCGAGTCCTGTGTTCTGTTTTGCACATGGCCAGAAGAAGATGGAAAGTTAAAAACTTTGTGCAAAATGACAAACAAATTTTCATAAGCTATCAAAGAGAGATGGAAAAAATAGAATGGAAAAAAAAATGCCTAGCATCTGAAAGCACCAAACACCAGCTCTTAAAAGCTTTTTCAGTACTTAGACCCCCCAAGAGATTACTCAGGGAGGATGAAACTTCATGTGATGAAATGAAAGTCGCAGCTGAATGTGATAAGGAAGTGTTAAATGCCTGCTTTATATCAAGCATTTGCTAAAATGTCTTACAAAGGAGATGCTAACCTTATACATTACAGCTCTTCAATACAAAATTATACATAGCAACTTAGATGAATTCAGAGTTGTTGAGACAGAGCTCTTAATTAAACTGGGGTGATACACAGCTTGAGGATCTCCAGAGATCATGCAGAGTTTCTTTTAACATAAAGTACTGCTACACACACACCTCTAACCTGTGCTCTGCATGTCACCTTCCAACTGATATGGTCCTGGACATCTGAGAAGTACTTACAGGGCACTGTACAGATTGAAGAAGAAAAAAAAAAAAGGCCCCAAATATTCCCAAATTAAAAATCCCCACCCTCATAAAATTCCCACAACCACACACACACACACACAAAAAAAAAAAAAAAAAAAAAAAAAAAAAAAAAAAAAAAAAAAAAAAAAAAAAATTTAAAACACAGGCCCCAAATATTCCCAAATTAAAAATCCCCACCCTCATAAAATTCCCACAACCACACACACACACACACAAAAAAAAAAAAAAAAAAAAAAAAAAAAAGAACCTGAAGAAATTTGGACTCCAGCCATGGGCACTGATCTAAAGGATCCTGAATTTGGTTGTCCAACCAAACTGGACATTGCATAGAGGCACACTGGGCATTTATCTGATTCAGCTGAATCACATTCCCTTGCTAATGTGCAGTAACCTGTAACATGAATTATCAGGAATGGATTCAGTATCCAAACTAAAGCTGATTAATCTCATCGTGGTCTTTGTAAAACTGATGGAAACAGAATTGGGAATTTCTTGGACAGCTGGAGTGTTTGTGCTCTGTTGTAGATGGATGCTTTTTATAAAGTTTTTGATTCTGTACGCATAAGTGAATTATTTCCTGATGTCATCTTTAGTGCATAATGGTGTTTTAAAATGTGCTTATGAATTAAGACTGCCCATAGACCCATTAAAATTATTTCTTGATGTGAGGGATAAAGTTCTTTTATTTCAGAAGTGATTCACAGGGTCATGGAAGAAATGCTTTTACAGTTAGATTGCTCCATCACTGTTCCTAATAAAACCTCTCCCCTTTAAAGAATTGATACTAGTTGCTGTCAAAATAACATGGTAAATTAGAACATATTTTAATACAGTGAGCATTCAGTGGAAATTCATCATTTCTCAAGAAATGTATGAGTATGGTCCATAAATTTAGAGACTTGCATAAGTGAGTCTCTATCTAAAGGTACCATCTGCCATTCTGCAATGCTGGGGTACCACCAGGCTTCCTAATAGAGCATAATGACATGCTGGAGTAACATCAGTTCTATGGGATGTTAAATATTCAGTAGCTCCTCTTACATAGTAGAAGATTCAGGCCTTAGCCTTGTATAAAAATATGCTGTCAAAAAGCTAGAAAAAACATACAAATCATCCAGTCCTGCACAGTAAAACCAGCTGCTGGGGTTACGTGTGCCCCAGGGCAGCTTTAATTTGGACATGCAATATATCACCACAGGGCTACTTGATCAGAGTTGCAGTCTCAGGAAATATTTTCAGGACTATTCAATTTCCATTAGCAGTTTCTCCAGGATCTATTAGACACAAACTGGGTTTCCTTCAATATCAATCATTCATGTTTTCTCTTTCATCCTGTCTTTGCTAAAATGGGATTTTCATGGAGGCTGTGAAATTGCAAAATTTAGTCTGTTCTATCATTTAGACTCCTTTAAGGGGGTTTTGCAGCCACGGCTTGGTAAGGAGCCTCTCTCCACCCTGGTGTTAGAGAACACCCGGTGGTGTTCAGCATTTTGCCTTTCCCTTTGGAAGTTTCCTCCTCCTCTAACCCCTCTGTCCTCCTGCACACTTTGACTGACCATCCTTGGCAGCCTCCACCCTCTGGTATAGGGTGCTATTGCTCTGTTCCCCAAGGAGGCAAATTGGTTACTTCCCAATTCTTTGAGAGCAGTAACTTTTCCGAGACCAAGGCTAAAAATTCATGTTTTTTACAGTCATGGTTTTTACAGAGGCATGTGATGCTGAAAGAATGCAAATACTAGTTATACCCTATAACAAATTATACCCTATATACAAGGTCCCTTCCAAATTTAATTGTCCTCCCACATTATTAGACATGTTCAATATCAATGCAAAGAGATGAAACCTGAGATAACCTGCTTTCTGAAGAGATTGCAAATTTGTAAATTCTGCTTATATTTGCTTGTTGTGGAAAGAGAGAAAGAAGGAGCTTTAGGAACTGAAATGTTCTCACAAGGGGCAGCTAGTGAGACCAGCTGGTGATTCACAGGAATTGAACATTCTCTAAAAAATGGACTTTGCCCAACAAAGACCCCCCCCAAAAAAAAAATAAAACAATCCCCAAACAAAGCAATTCAAAGAAAAATCAAAACCCACCAGTGCTTATGGCTCTTCTGTGGTTTAAGTTCTTTGTAGCAGCAACCAGCTTTGTTATTAGTGCTTGTATTTGGTCACTTTACTAATTATGTGATTCAGCTTTTCCAAGTAAACTCCTGGAATTTCCTCCCTCTGATTTGTGCGGGCACTTCTCAGGGCCAGCATTTCCCTCCATTTAGCTAAAACAAACAAGAGCTTTCTTTTTGAAAGTATTTCAACAACATGAGATAAGTTTCCTTCCTCCTTTTAATAGCTTCAGGGCTCCCCGGGGGGAAGTGCCAAAAACATTATTTCCTTCCAAATTCTAAGAGAGATACAATGTACTGGTAGGTGGTGAGATTAGATTACAGCAAAATTAACTATTGGTTTCCAGTTTTCGTTCTTCAGGCTGCAACCTCAGCTCTTATAAGCCTGTTGCTTCAACTCACCTGTGGTGTTTATTCACCTTTCCCACTGCTCTGTCCCAGGCACTCATGGGGCATATGGAAGCTGCAGTGACATTTAATGACAACGAACAACCAAAAGACATAAAATCCATTTGTTCACCTGATCACTGTTCTGTAATCCTCCACCTGTGGGGAGCATTCCTGAGGATGGGGCATAAGCTCTTAGGATCAGAAATGGGATCACAGGCTCTGTCCTGAGTCTACCATGTCATTCCAAGCATGAAATGAAAAGCCCATGCAGCAGCCCAGGCACAGGGGTGAAGGACGTAGCAGTGAGGAGTCTGCATGTCCAGCTGCTGTCCATCTCAACCCCTTCCTCAAGCTGGCCTGTTTTGGACATTTCTTTTATGAATAACAAGTGAATAAATAAAATCAGCTAGCTGTATCTGTTGTTCACCCTAACCACAATAGGGTGAATTGATAGCTTTAGACGAGGGTTTTGAGGAGATGTGGAGAAAGTGTCCTTGGAGATTAATTCAAGGACAGCACTCTAAGGAGTCTGTTGCCCATTTTTCAAGCGTTCCTGTGTTTATTTACTGAAACAACAGGAGTAATATGACATCATAAATCTCTTAAAAATTGAAATACTAGTGCCAGTCTTGAAAGATTAATAATAAGGAATGCCTTTTAGAGTGTGCTCATGGAGATGTAATATGAATGATTAGTGTTCTTGAACATTAGAATTACAGTGTATAATTGTAATGTTAGAGTGGTTATATAGAAGCCAGAGATCCCCTAACGGAATACATTGTGAATTTAATTATTTACATGGAGAAATCAGGGCTGATGTAGTCACTGAATGATAAAACTACAGTTTCCTACAATCCAAGTGTTATGAAGGAGCAGCATGGCTATCCATGTTTGTTATTTAGCTAGTTTTAAATTCTATAGTTGATAACCTTTGTGCTCTAGAGCTTGAAATGTCTTTTAGGCTATCTTCCTGCAATAGGTACCAAAATTCACTGAACAAGGATTTTGCTTGCAGGAGCATGAGCCCACATCAGGGGCCAAGGCTGGCTCCTGGGGCAGGGAGGGAGCTGTCTCCCACCAAGAACCACACCAAGGCCACACAGGATGCATTGCCTTGTATTCCTTCTGCAGTGGTAGTTTCAAACCTGTATGGTAGAATCACATCCAGCAAAAGCATGATTAAAAAATATGCATATGTGCTAAGGAGACACATTTCCTTAGGCTGGCTTCTGGGTATACATACAACCACTCAGAAAAACCTAGGAGTTCTTCAGCTGCTCTTACAGTGTCAGCAATATTGACAGTAGAGTTTCAGGGAAGAACAAAACACCACTCTCCTGCACAAAAGGCAGGATTGTGCAGATTCAGCATCTCTCTGCTGACGGTTCTTCCTGTGTTTGCCACTCTCAGGGTGCACCTTGCAGGGCTTCCCAGGTGCCTGGCTATGTGGGTGTGTGCCTCAGTCCTCAGCTCAGCCCAGGGCTTTGCAGGCTGGGCTGGCTCGGGGCACCTGCACAGCTCCAGGGGTTTCACTGGTGCCTGTGCACAACTGATACAATAGTAAAGCAAAGAAAGGAGGATTTTTAAAATCCTCTCATCACCAGTTGAGAGAATCATCATAAAACTATCAGACAGCATTCAGCAGAGTGGAAATCCCTGCTCCGATAAGCCCTGGCCCTGGAAGGCAAGGGATGCAAAGCTGAGGATGGAGCTTCTCTGGCTGGGTGCTCTGCACTCCCTCACACTTGGCTCTCACTGCTGTAACTCACCTGTGGTGCTGCACAACCTTGTTAGGAAAAGAGCATAAACCAAATTGAGCTGCAAGCAATTAGAACCTACCAAAGGCTTTCCCTTCAGCTGGAAAAAGACTGCAATTCAGTGAAACACCGATTCCAGAAACCCCTGGAGCATGATCCTGAACACGGGTGTGGTGTTGTGCATACAAGGAACTGTAAATGCTGTATAAGAGCACATTTGTTAACACAGTTTATTGGCACACTTATTGGCAAAGCATACATAAAATACAGTTGTATTATATAACACACTGACTCACTGTGTCTTTACATGATGAGTTGAACATATTAATATGTAAATGAAAAAAAATTAGTTTCTTTTATAAAGTTTCACATAAATACACCGGAATAAAAAACAAAACAAAACAAAAAAGTAAAACAAAAAATGAGGGCTTTACAAAAATATACAAGAAATATACTATGAAAAGAAATAACAACAAAGCCAACTCAGATACAATAATAAAAACACAAAGGTTTTAGATTTATTAAGCTGCCCACAAAGTTAATGGATTACATGGCTTTAAAATATCTGGATCGACAGCAATTTTACAAAGCATAAACTCTCATAGGACTGGGTGTCTTTTTCCACATAAAAATATTTCTCATGTCTTTGATGAAAAAAAGACATTTCTTGTTTCAGTATTTTTTATTAAATGATGGATAGAGTATCTACTGGCTTCAGCTAAATGTAAATTAAAAATGCTGGATCCTTTAAATGATTAACTGATGAAAGAAAAGTTAAAGAATGAACAAAAGTTACTTTAATTTACTTTTCCTTAAAAGCTGAACTTTTTCTGAAACAAGAAATTTCAGGTGCAAGTTGAAAAGCAGAAAATATATTACAATTGTAAAAAGTTTTACATAGTTATGTTATAATGAGATCCTGAGCACTGATGACTTGTTAAAATATGGCCATTGTTTGATGAGGAAAAAAACAACCCCTTCCAATAAAATGCACTGTCAGAAATTTGCCATGAGATGCTGTTTAATTTTCAATTATTTTAATTGAGGTCAGTGCCAGTATCTAGTTGTATGACAATACTTCCAAGGAATGTATATGGAAGCTTATACAAGAGTTTTCCCTAACGAAAAAAGTTGGATAGCTTTAGTTTAGAAATAGATACTGTATCATTTGAAAGGTGTTTCTTTTAAGTTTTATTTTGAAGAATGCTGTGAAACAGTAATTCATAACCCACTGCGGTACATTGCAGTGGGCACTGCTGCAGAATAACCTATTGGGAAGCTTGTGGTGTGGGGTTTTCAGATTTAGTCTCCTGGTTAGCAGCAGGTTTGCTGTTCCATGGGCTGTTATTTCCCAGTGCAGGTGAATTGTTGAAATCTTCTTCATCATCCATGCCATTTGCTGCATCATACTGTGTATTCTCTAATCTAGTGATAAGCCTTTCGTCTTCATCCCCGAATTCGCCTCCCATCAGAGTTGGTTCTCCTACCACCATCACATCCTGTGAACAGCACCCAATATTTGTTATATGGAAACCTTGAGAGAGAAAAAATCAACTTAAAAAAATTATGTTAGAGAATTCGCATCTTTTTTACTTTGTGACATTTGAACAACAGAGTTAAAAGTTCCCATCTAGTAGGAACAAGGACAGAGGCTTACACTTTATTTCTAATTTAATTAAAAACTGTAACACATCTCTATAGCCGCATGCTCATGGCTCTGGATCTCAGAAACCCCAGAACTGAAAAGCAGGTAGGCTGAAAAATATGCCTGATTTTAAGCAAATAAACAGGCTATGAAACTGCCTTTACACTTCTCCTTAAAATATTTAGCCTTTATCCAGTAAATCCTTCCTGAGCCATTTTCTTTGGAAAGGCACCAGGGTGTATCTCAGTAGGAACTTGGTGATATGCGTATTTTAAAAGTAGTTTAAAAGAAACCATATTTCTTATCCTCAGACTTCTCAAATGTGGAGCACAGCACTCTAATAAAGATGGTAACTCTCTTATCCATAGCCAGCCAAGCCCTTTTACGCATCCAATATACTTGACATTCTGCTACTTAATTATGGTAATTAATTTAGGTAAAGTTTTCGATAAAAACAATGTTCACACTGATTTGACAATTTGCATAGCTAATTAAGTCATTAGCAAAAACCTGCTGATTGCCAACAAGCCCTGAATTTACCATCTGTTATTTCATGGTGCCTGTCACCTAACTCCATGTAGGCAACCCTGCCGCCAATCTGTGCAGTAAGAGGACCAATCTGTCCAGCTGGTACCGTAAAAGCAAGATGAAGAGTGCTAATTATAATTACACTGATGAAGCTCGTACTCATCAGAAACTAAAGCATGCAAGAAAGAAAGAATTCATCTAATCACTGCTTTAAGTACAAATTGTCCTTCCATGAAAACAAGTAAACCGCCTACTGTACTCCAGTGCATCACAGATTTGCTGCAAAAAAACCTAAGCAGCATGGGATAGAAAGGTGCAAACTTGAGATTGGAAAGCAAAGGTGCAAAGCCAGAGAGCTCTCTTGTTCTCTCTGTTAAAGGGAGATTCAGGCTGCTGTGCTAACAGCTAAAGAAATATGTGGGATGCATCTCTTCATGCAGCTCAGGTGTCAGGGCACCAGGTAGTGCTTGGTAGAAGTGCAGTAATTCCAGATGTGTAGCTTTGTTCCTGCTGATCTAACAAGCCCTTCCAAGAATCCTGGTGAACAATGGATTCATTTTTTAAAGGATCTGTTCCTCCTTATGAATGTTAATAGCAAACAGAAGACAAATGTTTGCATTTAATAAAGTTTTTTTTTAATCAGATATCTACTTCCTTCACCACAAAACAATACAAATTATTGCTTGCAAGTGTTTACACTATTTCTTGATATCCCTCAGCAAAGGCTGGCATGTTACAAAAGAATGTTTCTGTCACATTTTCAGCCTGTGCTATGTAAAAAATTTGTGAGTATATGAAAATTGTTACACTATTTCTTCCTCACTTTGTTTTGTTACTCCATATATCCATAAAATATTTGGTTAAAAAAACCCTCACACACAGCTTTGTGACATAGACGTCTAAAAGACAAAGGTGTTCATGAGCAAAAGTTTATTCTAATTTATCCCGTCCCTCTAAACAACAGGCAATGTACGGTGTGCACTGCTGGGCCAGACCTGATCCCATTGCATTGCGAGAGCATTAATGACGAAAGAGACCTGGCAGAGGACAGCGAGCTGGGTGTGAGTGTGCAGTGCTACATGGCAGGCAAAAAGGGACCACAGTGGCTGACACACACAATCACAGACCGAGGTGGCAACAGCTCCTTTTACTTGGACTTTCCCGAGGACAGGCCTCAGGCTCTCTCCGTTGCCATACAGCGAGAGGCCAGTGGCTCGGATGAGACTTAAACAAGCGCGTCAAAAGTCACTGTGGGGCTGCAGCAGCTGGCTGGGGAGGCCACGTGAAAGAATTAAATATGTGTTACATCCACCAAATGACTGGGAGGGGAAATGTGCTTAACAGCTGCAAGTGCTGAAAGGAAGACAATCACTCTAGGCCCATCTGAGGAGATGTAGACTAGGGTACTAAGATGGAATTAAGTAAACAAAAATGTAATCCCCACTCCTAAAACAATATTCCTGTTCCTGATAATGGCAGGCTGAGGATTAACAATCCCATGGGAACAGTGCTAGTTTTACTGCTTGGGTCACCTAACACTAGGCTGGGGAAAAATCTCAATCTGTGGTAGGAAACATTTGTGCATCAGTGGGGAGATGTTCACTGACATTGTAAGTATTTCCGCCTCTGATTTCTCAGGTTCATTTAAAATATTATTCCTTTCATATAATGACTCCCACTGAAAGAACAGTTTGCATTTGTATTTCCCTCTATACTATTGAATCTCTCTCTCTCTCTCTCTCTCTGGGAATTGAACTACAATTATATTGAGGTTAGTGGAGTTTTCCCTCAATCTATTTAAAAGATAGATATCATAGCATTCGTTACAGGACACCTGAAAAAAAATTCTTGACAATCTTGCCACTTACAGTTATATCAGGCAAAAATAGTGTCTCAGGAAGCGCACATGCTGTTTCCTCCCCAGAGGATTCTGCTCCTCAGACTGAAAGCTGAAGACCCCACCAAGTGCACCCCATTGAACCTCCACTCACTAGATCCCGTGCAATGACCACCAACCTCTGAGGAGGACTGGAAGTGACTCCTTTTAGAGCCCCTCAATGCTTCTCCTTAAATTGGCCAGTGGGGGTCACTGCTGTTGAATGACACAAGGCTCCATCCCTCCCAGGGTTGAGGCTGCAGCTCTGGAGTGCTCCTAGCTCCTGCTCATGGAGTGAGAAGCAGAATCCAAGAATTAAACCCTAGTCTCTTGCATGGCAGCACACACTGCTATGGCCTAGTTATGGTAGCACATATTTGACTAAATTAGTTTAAAAAAGATTTAGACTGTAGTCACTCAATCTTATTAATTTACTCTGTGATTAGAAACAACATTTTTGGTCAAGGAATGTCTCATGATAGTAAAATATGGCTGTAGTGAAGCACTGTAAATAAAGCAGTGGTTGTTTTACATTATGTGATAGAAATGTAGTATTTTATAATATAACCACAAAAGCAGCTTTCATGTATATCATACCTTTCATCCTGTAATAACCCTAGTTGCCATCCAAACTTAAATTGATGCATATAAACTATAGAAACAGAGATCACGCAACACTCAAATGCAAGCACTTCTATTTAACAGACTAGTAATTTCTAGAGTTCATCTTTTTTATACCAAGCCTCAAAATTTAGCTCTGCCCTGCCCAGTTAAGTGACTAAATTTTTTAATTTGGGATCATCCTATGTCTAAACAATGTCCTAGTGAAGTATGGAGGTAGAAGTTGGGCCATGTAAAATTCCCCATCTCCGAGCCTTCCATCTTTGCTGCTGTTAGTACGTAGCCTCGCTCGGTGTGTTACAGTGATCAGTTTGTAGCTCTGTTGTCACAGCCCCCAGAAGTAGACAAACAGTGCTTCACAAGTCTAAGGTAATTAAAAATGCTAGGCACTCTCAAGTATATAATTCAAGCACATCTCATCCTCCAAGGACTGAAAGTTGCACTAGTTTTAGCAGCTGGCATACCTCTAAGTGCTAAGTCAAAAGAAGAAGGGTTCCTCCTCCTGCTTTCCTTCTTATGGAATTGTGTTAGTGGTAATTATTTTAATAATTGACTTTTTAGCTCCTTGGCACAAAAATTATTAAAGACTGAGAGCCCCACTGCTGTCCACACCCATAATAGTCACGGCTTCCATGAGAAAAACATCAGACTGACTGGTATTGAAATGATCTTTAGAAACAGAACTGACTTTTTAATTAGGTTTCAGAGTAAACACTTTCTAGAGAAAAATCTTTCACATCTCATCATAATTCTCACTGTTAACTTGACATTCTGTTCTTGTTTGGAATGTTTTTCCTAAAGCACAAAAACTGGAAACAAAGTTATTCTCTCTCATCTCTTTACTACTAAATCTTAGACTCTGATTTGCATGGTTTTGAGACATGTTATAATTTCTGACACTAATCTCTGGCCCTGGAACTGTAGCTCTGGTTCTAAAACATCCATTACAAACCACCTAAATCTACCCTGTTTCTGAAACACATAAGAGACTGTATTGCTCCCTTCCACATTAGCAGGTTTATTTATGGATTTGGTTTGTAAGCTTACAGGGAACTACAAAAGAATTTGAGGTTTGTATATATTGAGGTATGTAACTTGCTTAAAGAGTGCAAGGAGGTTCCACTTTAGACTCTGGATATAACAAAGAATGTTTCATTTACTCAGTGTCATGTAGTGATGCTTTATTCTTTCCAACACATGATATTTCACTGGGTTTATGGTTACAGCATTACACTCAATGGGATCTTCATTATTAAACGAAAACAAAATCCACCTATTAATTTCTGTGGGGATGACTGGGAGCAGCATAGAGCAATGGTTCTTAGAGTTTGTGAGAGTTGTGGATTGCTATCAAGTTTCAAATGTATGAAAATTGATCAATGTGCCTTTTTAAAATTAAACTTAACAGAGAGTGATATTTAAGTGAAAATAGCTGTATGGACCCCTTCTGATCACCTTGCTCATACCTGTAATGCACAGATAACAGTATACAAATCACTGCTCTACAGTACAGGGCTTTCAAGAAAAGTTTTATTTGAAACAGAAGAATATGAAAAATGTTAAGGAATATGATTTTAGTCAGTGAGAAGGCTTGAAAACTGAGCAAAGATTTGGGAAAATATTGCAGCTAGCTTCAAATACTGGAGGAAATTATTAGTACTGTGTAAGAGGTAAGGCAATGACAAACCCAAATTAGGCAACTAATTTCTTTAAAATGATAGGAAGGCTAACATCAGAAAGGCAGGTTTTCTGTGAATCTTGCAGAAGGACTCTTGCCCATATTTGCTCTTTGTCTAGAGGAAATTGGTAACTCCACTTTCTGCCCAATGAGCCTTCCAAAGATCAAATGTGACTGAGAATATGAATAGATCCAAGTATAAATTATTGGCACCTGCTGAGACTAAGGCAGCCGAGAGGACTACAGTTTCTGGGTCCCTGTCCTGTCTGTTTCCTTTATGCACTAAAACCAGTCAATGCACCTATGGGGAGCACTGGCAGTACTGAGCCTGCACCCATGAGAGCCTGAGAAAAGAAAACTTCTGGTAAGAAAAACGTTCTGTATTTGTGCTGACTTTAGCACCACACTACACTGTGTTGCCTCAGCACCTACAGGATTTGGGCTCACAAGCATCACTGGACAAGCAATGGGCCAAGCTAAGAATGAGCTGTGTGGTGCAATCATGGCACATTGGCTAACTGCATTTGTGTTAAGAATGTAGGAAATATGTAGGAAATATGTATTACATAGAAAAGGTATTAAACAAGGGACTTGGGCCAGAAGAGTCATGTTGACAAGAGATCCTGAAGGGCTCCTGAAGGTCTGCAATCAGTAGCCTGAGAATCAACAGAACCACAGAAAACACTGTTCATCCCACCCTCATAAGAGAAAATGAGTACAATAGAGTGCAAGTGACTGTCAAAAGGACAAAAATCTGTATTTTGTTTACCACAGTTGAGAAAGTATAAACAATAGTAAGAGATAAGAGGATGGACCGAGAGTGAACATTTTCAAATTGCTGATGAAAGGGAAGATACCCACCCAATAGCAGAGACCCTTCAGATGCTTTTATGGATTGTCATTAGAGATGTATCAGAATGTGTCAGCACTCTGGAAATGCGAATAAATTTAGGGCAACACAAGGAGCACAAATTACACTGACTGATTAGGCTTCAACAACTTCAGGATGCAGTGCCAACCTGACCCACACATGGAAACACAATCACATCATTTCGCTCTCTGAGCTTGGCTCTGTACTGTCTGCACTGTCCCTGCCTGGACAACGGATCAGAAAATAATGCAGGTGTAGGAAATGGCACAACCTTCTCCTTCTCCTTCTACTAGTAGAAGAACCTCTATCTGACATGTAACATTCCCTCATTAATCAAGGCTTGCCCAATGTATTTATGTGAAGAGCTGGAAAGGGCTGTGGGGAAAATGACAAAAGTCTGAAGTTGCAAGATTTGCCGTAGCTGATGGTGCTTTTGTTATCTGGACACTACCCTGAACATGGGATATTTACCTCTCTAGGCATGAAGACCTCATTAAAGAAACAGAAGTTAATGGTGTGAGTGAGAAATGGGGATGAGGTGTGTGGTAAGTTCACACATTTGCCAGACTGCATGCAGCATTAATGTAGGAGCAAAACAGAATAATTACTAATGTCCTAAACCAAGAAACATCACATAGAATAGAGGCTAAGAAAACACTGTTTAATCAGGATTAATTTAATATCAAAGTTGAAACAACACAGAAGCATAAAAGAGACAGGAAATTGGATGTGATTATGATGGAGAGACTGACTTTGCTGGCAGGGAAGAAATCATTGGAGAAAAAGAGAAATACAGGAATACAGGACTTCATATTAATCCAGGTTTGATATAGATATGAGCTCATTGTGGGCTTCTCCAGAGAGGAGGATGAGAAAAATGGAACTGTAACTAGCTCTGGTTATTTGAGTCATCTGGATAGAAGATGCAGTGATTTCATTCCTCTTCTCTAATAAAGAGAGGGGAAATGCTTTTAACACTGAAAGTGAATGATTTCAGTAGGGTGGGGTTTTTTTCTACTGAGCAGGAAAGTCCCATTCACAGAAAGCTGTACAGCCAAATGAATATTTTAGTGAACTGAAAACTGCCAAATTGTGTTCAAAGATCTCTTGTCTTCTATTGCATGTAAGGGAAACTAAACATTAACTACTAAGTGATACACTTTAAGGTACAGTTATGGGAAAGAAACAGAAAGAAAGTTACTGCTACCTGCAGCTATCTTCAGAAAGCAATGGCAACAAGGTCCACTTCAAAGAATGCATAATTTTTTGAAGAAGCGTGGGATTACATCTCTTTATTAAACTGAAAAGCGTTGAATAGTTTTACACCGAAATATCCTCCTGCTAAAATTATTTTGAGTTGTCTACTCTACAGGGTGGCCAAACCATCAATTCCATCTGGTTTGCTATCTTTGCTGTGGGGAAGATGGGAAGAGCTGTTAGTATGTCAAATTGAACAGCTAAGCATTTTCCCCTTTGCAGATGGAAAGGAAAAGTGTCCTAAAAATGGAACCTGATCCTCCATACAAAAGAGTTTGGACCATTTTGCTACTCTGGTACAGAAAGCAAAGAATATTGAAAAATATTGAGTATGCAACATCCTGAAAGTAAAAGAAGGCTAAAAATCCATCCCTCATACCACAATAAACTTCACCAATATGTCTCACATGCTCAACTATCATCTCCATCAGAAGAGCAGCCTTGACTGCTTCATCTGTCAGGAGTAGCCTTCAGCACCTGAAGTCACTTTCAGTGTCAGTGGGAGTGACAGGTAACTATCAGAAGGCTCAATCACATTCAAACATTCAAGTACACATGGCTACCACTGAATGCCACAAAAGTCATTTCTCCAGGGAGAAGCAGGCTGAAGAGAGGCAGGGGGTCACATTCTGGTCCTGCTGAACTCTGAGCAGGGTGTAGCTGACAGAAAATCTCTACTGTCTTTTAAAGCTGGAGACAGCAGGGAACTAGCTGGTTGCTTGGTTTTGCACTTCATTGCAGTTTTTTCTTAAATATGGTTGAATATTGATTCAAAGGTTTTTATGGCAGATACCATCAGTGGGGTAGAGTGGTGCCTGCCACCAGATCAGGTAGTCAGCCTTCTGACTGCTTTGTGCTGCCAGGAAAACACAGAGATGCCTATATTAGGGAAAGAATCTGACTCTGGGGATGCGAGCCAATTTTAATATGACAAGGAGGAAATATGAGTTTAATGTACTGAAGCCCAAAGCTGTAAACTAGTGGATTGCTAAATCAGTTCCTAAACAAAAATCTTCATTTCATTTCATTGGTGTTAGTCTACTCCTCTTTTTTAAATCTGGATAGTCAAGCTTCCTAGGAAGTGTCTGCTTTGTGCTAGCAAAACACCTATAGTCTTTGTCAGGTTTCAGAGGAGACCTACCCCTTCCTGTCTGCTGATCAGAAATCCAATAAAAATACCTGCATGTTATTCCCAGGATATGACTTTATGGTTCCTATAATATCAAATTAATTTTCCAAGCTTTAAAATGCATAAGCTATCTCCTTATTGACTAAGGCACACTCTGTCACAATTTGGGGTCTGAATACCCCTATTTTGTGACTAAGGCAGTAAATGTGACATTATTGCAGTGCTGATACAGTTGTTACTCTGGAAATGACTTGGTGTCTCCCTATACAATTGGGATGTCAAGCGTTACAGCTAGTAGGGTGGATAAGCTGAGTTCCACCTTCCAGGGGATCTACCCTCTGCAAGTGGAGTGATTGGACAAAGAGATAAGCCCTGCAGGTAAGTTAAATCATAACCTGTTCCTGTTCAGCATCTGAACCTGGCACCAATCAAAGGTAAGGTACTAACACAGAGCTCAGGTACAGCTCTCCTGCACCACTCGGACACATCCTTGCTTAGCACCTGGCAGGTGAAGTCTGCAAGGCTCCTGCTCTGTCTAAAACCACAAGGCCTAATCTGAGTCTCACCACTAGTGAAGGGACTCCCCCTGACAAAAAGGGGAACTGGCCCAGGCCTTTAAAAAAATCACATCTGATCCTCAGGACACTTCTGTTTGAGGGTCCTGCATTAAAGCTGCACTGCAGAACAGCTCCTTCACACCTCTCCACTAATTCCCCAGCTTCCACAGCACACTGTGCAAGATTGCCTTTTGCATGTGATAGTTTTGGCTCAAGAATGCACCTTCTTTACAATGTATGGAAAGAATTAAAGCACCATAAGTGATTCAGGCCTAAAAGGAAAGTGAGACTTACAGGTACCTGACTTGATAGACTCAGGTTTGCAGCAGCTGACTTTTTCTTGCTGTTGGTACTATTTGCGTTGTTCCCAGCACTACTGTTGGAAGTGCTGCTGGTAGAGTTTTTCCTTTTTCTCCGTTTGGTTGTTGGTTGTCTTGTGGGTTCTGCTGCAATAAAATGATAAGAAGGAAAGCAAATGGCAGATATTGTAAAGCAAGAACTAAAATGATCCATAAGAAGTGGTGCTGAAATACTTTTCCAATTAGTTTTACATTACTAAGTTTAATAATAGCAGTTGTGTTAGATTTAACATACAAACTGTAGAATGATATTTGGACCCAAACCAATGGAATCTGCTTTCAGTTTTTTCTGATGGATTAACAAAGCTTATTTTCCCTGCATTGTCAATAAAGGTATTCAAAAGCCTTTTACTGATGGGAGTATCATGATAATGATCATTATGGTCAAAGTGCCTGTGGAACTTGCTGAAGGTCACACGGCAAGAAACAAGATGCTAAATGAAAATGCAAGTCTTACTGTGATGGAGGGTACAGCCTCCAGTGACCCAGCCAGAAACAAAGACTAAAGGAGCTTTCTACCCTACTGCTGCCATCCATGCAGCAAGCAACAAGCAACCCCCCTTTGAGCTCCTTCTGATCCTCTGTGGGCTTCACCTTTAAAACTGCTGCTCCCAGGAGAACCCATGAAGTGTGCCAAATGGCATTGCCCTGCAAGCCTGCAAAACTCAGACTGAATCAGGACAATTGCACAGCTTTGCTTAAACTGGCAAAGCAGAGAAGGGCAATTATTCTCAAAATTTGGCCTGGGCACCCATGTGAACACTCTAAGATATAAAAATCTTTATAATCTGAAAAAAGAGAGAATTATTATTTTGAAGTGTAAGAGGAAGGAGATTAGGTCCAGGCCTGTAAATAACTTAATATTAGTCTCAAAGACAATTAATTATGAATTGTAGCTGTAATTTCAGAGTCACAGCAGGAAGCAGGATTACACAAACCATGAATTCTAATGGAGCCAGTAGGCATTTTGCATTCCATCTACACATATTTTTGTACTAAATTATATCCTAGTCATAGTGAAGCCATCTCAGTGTGCACATCTATAAATCAGTTCTGTCAGACTGAAATCATAAAATATCAGAATAATTTTCAGGCTTGCTTTGGGAGCATTGTTAATTTTTATTACTTTCCTTTCTAAGTAAGCTTTCCCGTTGCTTCTCCATTAATTTTACTATAAAAGAAGTGGAATTTTGGAAGTAAAACATACCTGGTGGGGCCACCATTCTCTGCCATTTTTGAAATAAGCATGTCTTCAAGCAGTCTCGAGGACTTAGATTGTAAGTTTTATGTCTTGACATCAGTTCCTGCATTGGCTCCAGTATAACACACAACTAGAAGAAAAAAAAAAACAGAATAGAACAATTTCATCCAAGCAAAGCCTCCATTGATCAGTATTTACATAGCTGGAAATTACATTTTTGGATTTTTTTTACTCTTGCTAATGGAGAATGCCTTATACAGTTCAGTTTAATCTGCACTTGGATTGCAAAATCAAAACTCTGAATTGGGAAAACTTTTTATTACTATTTATTATCCTAGGTAATTTATGGATATATCAGATAAACTTCAACTCTAGTCTTCCAGGCTACAGAGATTTCAGAAGACTAGAAAATGTTCATGCTTCATTGCCAAAACTGCAAAGGTTAATATCTAATAAAATGCCCATAGTGGATTAGCATTCCCATACAGCAAAATGTGTTCTTCTGACCTGCTGCACACCACAATGAGAACTTATAAATTATCTTTTATTTTGATATTGCATGCAAAATAATCCAGGTAATTTTGGGCTTTTTTTGTTATACGAGGACTATACACTCTCCTCTTATCATATCAATGACCCATATGAGAAAAAAAGAGAAGCATTTTATTTTTCTTGTCTGCTTGGATGCTGAATATATAGGATACAGATTTCTGAAAATATGGAGTTTCAAACATATTTTAAAAAATCTTATATATTTTTAAGTCTTATATATTTTCTACTGTTCACTTAATAATTAAATATTGTTCACTGCTTTCCACTCCTGTTAGCACAGCAGATCCAGCAGAAAGAGCACTATGTTGCTTTCTGGTCTGTCCTGTTTATAACCACAGAATCATTTCCAGTCATTTAAACCTCACTCAAAACCACAGAAGGCTACAAATTGCACACTTGTAACTGAGGGCTTACTCTTGTTTGACAGAGCCTTGTTTTTTAGGCATCCTAAACGAGGAGAAAAACTCCAGGCTGACCTACAGGTGCTACCTGAAATCTGTAGGGCTGGCACACAGGAGGAGATGGTTCCTTACTTGCAAACTGAGCACATATGATAAGGAAATAGCTGGCACGGAATAAGCATGGAGCCTGCACGCCGCTTTTAGTCACTTTTCAAAGCAGAACTGCATTTAGAAGCAGGGGCAGGTTTGGCTTTTTTTACCAACAGAAGCAGGGCAAAAAGTTGATCAAATTATTGGAAGTTAGAATGGCAACTGAAGATAGGAGTAACTTAAGTGAAGTCTTGTTTTGAATTATTTACTTAATTTTAGGAAGTTTTGCTGAAGGAGTATCCAGGATTTGCTTCAGCAGGAGACGTTTTCCCTCTGTTTTTTACAAATATATGAGACAGGAGACAAATTCTTCTCTCTGGGCTGCAGAGCTGAGCAACACTTGCTCCATTCTGCAAACATGTACCCTTCTCTCATTCATAGAAATGGAGATGCAAAGTATGCAGGGAAAATAGTTGAAAGGGAGCTGCCATGAAGACTGAGACTAATTCAGCATTTAAATATTACTGTGTATTGGCACTGCTGTTTGATGAGCCTTTCATTAACAGCAGTTAAAACACAGATAACATAAAGCAGCAGGGAGAATGAAGAGCTTGAGTATGAGAAATTATTTTTTTCCATCTGCAGAAATTGAATCTGCAGTTGCCTCACTGACATTTTTCTTACACACTTTTTATACATTTTTTGTAAATAAATATCTGCAAGATAATCCAATAGAGAGAAAGCTGCTATCACATAGTGCACTCTGGGTTTGGATTTTCATCTAGTTCAATATTCAACAAAAATTAAGATCATCAAGTCCTAAAATATATGCAGGATCCAGTTTATGCTGTGAAAAAGGTGTTGTATTTTGAGTTGATATTCAATTTATTCTGAAACCTGCAGGCGCTTGCTCAGGTTTTGTGTGTGTGTATGTGAGTGAGAAAGAGATTTGTGATCGTAATGGACACCATTGTTTTGACTCTCAGAAGTCTGGGTTTCTGGCGTGGCTGGCTAAATTTTCTCATTATGAGCTGACAGCAGCAAGCATGAAAAAGATACTTGTGATAATTCTGAACAAACTAGTTACCCTGGGCAGAGTGCTAGACTCACACAGCTCTACTGCTGCTGGGACTAAAAATAGCTAAATATATATGTAGGTTCTTCCAACATTTCCTTAAGGACACTTTATTCATTATATACTTACTCTTCCCTAGATATTTATTACTGGCAACAAACAGAATGTTTCTTCTTTATCATCTTGGCAAAGATGTTTGCTATTGTGCTCTAACCATAATGTGCACTGAAAACTATGCTGTCCCCGCTGCCTGTGGATATTTTGACTGCTAATCCTGTATATAATCTCTTTCACTTCACACACAAGATTAAAATGGAATACAGACCCAATATGCTTGACTGATCTCACCTGCATACAGAAAAACATATGGACATTGAGGGCCCTACTGTAGGACATGGGAAATCTCATCTTCTGAGTACCTGCGAGCTGTAGCCACTCACATGAATTCTTCTGGTTTTTGGGGAATTCACAACCATTTTCTTCCTCCAAAGTCTGAAAGTTGTAAGGTCAGCTTTGGATACCTGAGTAATAGCAGGGCATTGAACTCTATAGTTTTAAATGTATCTAGCTCATGTGAATTTGGCATAAGTGTAAAATGAACCGGATTAAAAATGATTGATATCAAATCTCAAAGTCTTTTTTGGTGACCTTGGAGACCTACTTGAAATCTAAAGTAACTCAAACCCAAATCCTTGAAAGAAGAAATGATTGTGCTCCAATTATCTTAAGTCCAAGGAACTTGTCATCGACAATCAGTAACTTGGTTTTCTTTTCAAAAAAAACCAGTTTAAAATTGTGGGGACAACATGTATTTAAAAGCTTGATTGGCCAAAACCACCTGCTGTCTTTTAACAATGGTGAGCAGGTAACTGGCAGGCTGGGTTGACAGAGTGAGTTCTTAAAACAAAGCTAATGAAATGTTTTATTCTCCTGCATTCATTGGCTTATAGAAGCCTGAGGCTTAAACTGTCAATTCCCCAGAGATCATCTAGTCTCCCTCTGTGAGATTTCTTCACAACATCCATTTTAAGATTTTTTCAAGCACGGGATAATACCAAAATGTACAAGTATTTACTATAGTACTATATTAATAATATTTGGAACACCAACAAAACCAATCTCTTCTACAAGCAGTTTCTTCACAGCTTGAAATCAGTCACCCAAGAAAATAGCCTAAAGACTTCAAGAACTTAGTGCAGTGACGATGTATGATTACAGAAATAATTTCTACATTCCTAGGAATACAGAACCTTTAATGGCAATGCTTGACAAGAGAGATATTTCTGAGTTCCACACTTAGGCAACACTAGAGTTGGGATCCATATGCCTGTGCACAGGTGTCTAGTGCCAGCTGAAATGCCCTAGATGATGCTGGATCTGGTCCACCAGATCGCTCTTGCTGTCCCAGAAGGACACAAAGCTCCTTGTGGATGTTTCAGGCACTAGAATATGTCTTAATTGTGTGTGCAGTTGAAAAAAGCCTAAAGTTCAAAGAAAAAATTATGTTTGTTTTAGCTTTTAAAATGTATTTGGAAAAATGTGTATCATAATAGATTATGCACTTTCCCTCTGCACTACTAAAACCCACTGAAAGAACTCCACATTATGTTTAAGCAACCCAATATTATTGGAATTAGTTTCTAGCCATCTTATCTGAGCTCACTGTGCTGATGTCTGACCATTACTCAGAACCATTGCTGTTTCACTGTCAGAGCTGTGAGGTGGAGCCAGCTCTAGGGATGAGCACAGTGCTTCACCCTGAGAGATCACTGGCATGAGCAGCCTGTGTTTGTGGGTGAGCAGTACACACTGGACCCATGCACGTGGTTTGGTACTATAGATACTGGCAGTGACTCTCCTAGAGTTCCATATGGATCCTATGGACAATTCATCAGTTAGAGGGCTTAGATCCAGCTTGATAAAATGGTAGTGCTATACCCTTGGGGCTCAGGGAAGTGAAAATAGGGAACATAATAAAGCACGAAGCATGTCTGGGGGTTGTTTTTTTTTTTTTTTGGGTGTTAGTAAAACACATCAGGAAGAATTTGATTTTTTAAATGATTTTTTTTTGGAGGAGAAGACTAGCACTTATAGGTTTCAAAAACCAGTGTTTTTCGAGAAGGGAGTTATAAGAGGAGATAGTGGTGGCACTGCAGACGGTGTTAAAGGGTTCTGAGAATATGGATCCACACATAATTTCCTGTAATACCTCAGTTATCAGCAGAGCCCAAACTGGCCTTCATCAGTAAGGGATCATATTCAGCTCTGAGATCAGTCCAGTCACACCAAGAATAGCTTTAGCCTCACGATTTTTGTTCTCATGCTGGCTTTTTATTCCACTCCGAGAACAGATGCTCTTTCTGGAAGCAGTGAATATTAGCAACAAACACCGATGTGAAAGCTCTCTTTTACCTTTTGCATACCGTAAGCTAACGCATTCTATTTCCAATTTAATTAGCGATTACCCTCTCCAGGAAGGCCCCTGCCTCCAGGAGGGTTTTTGGGCTGCGGAGGGGAAGGCTGCCGTGCGGTCCTGCCGGCGCTGAGCTGCAGGTGGCAGAGCTGCCCCAGCCAAGAGGCTCCGCGCCGGCAGCACAAAGGAGCGGCAGCCCTTCGGCTCTTCAGCGCTTTTTGCATTTTAAAGAGAAATCGGTGAGCCTCGAGTCTTGCCGTATTTAGCTGGTGACACTACATAATCACCCAGCCAGTTTCTTTAAATCAGGAAACATATCTGGTCAATAAGCCAGGTGGCCAACAACTCCCATGGTCTACCAAAACAAGCAAGTTTTAACTATCTTCCTATGGCTGCCTATTTTGTCTGAATACATAAAAGTTTCACTAACTACAACTTAAAAAATGGAAATAGCTAAAATTTTTCATGTAGATGACACTTAAAAATGTTAATGTATAATGTAACATCAGTTTTTCTGAATGAGCCAGCAAGGAACCAGGCAGCAATGAGAGTGTTTCCTGAAGTTCTACTGAAATGTAATTTTAACCCTTTGATGCTTG